GGGAGAAAGTTCACTCATGACTATGTAGAGAATGAGTGGTAATGGAGATATTTGTAAGTGTAAGATATTTGGAAGGATGATCACACGTGAAGAAATCACCTTTTTCCATTTATGTATTTGATTGAGATAGTTCAGATATGCTTTTGTTTCCCATCTCTACAGGAAGTGATAAAAAAGAATTATTAGTGTAGTAAGATGTAAGAGCGAAGGCAAGGCAACATGTGCAATAACTGTTACTTAGTTATGAGAATTTAATAAACAACTACTATGTCTTATGGGTTTGTTATTCAATTGTAGTTGAAAGATTGTTTCAGCCCTTGGGGAGGTTTAAGGTAAGAAAATAAAGAATAAAAACTAAAATTAATGAATATGTACCAACAAAATTGAAAAAAATGTTAAGCAGGGAACAAGTTATTGGGACAGAAAAGAAAGGATATAAATTAAATGAGTCAGCAGGGGTGATTTTTCTGATTTTTAACATAACTAAAGGATGAAAGGAACCCAACCATGGGGAGAACCCAAGTCAGCATTCCTGGAAGATTTAATAGCCAGTGAAAAGCTCTAAGAAATGGAAAGATCGTGACATTCTAGAAGCTAAAAGGAGGCAGTTTGGTAAGGACATAGAGAGCAAAGTGGACAGTCAGTGGTTTGAAATGATATGGTAAATAAAGGCCATGTTATTCTTGGTAAGGTGTTTCTACTTTATTTTAATTGATAAAAGAAATCATTAAAAAGTTCAAGTAGAGAGTCTCAAACTTTGATCTGCATCCAAATTATCTTGTGTTATCATGGTCTTTATTCCCTTTAGTGTTCTTTAAAATACATGATTATTTTAGAGTTTTCAGCAACTGGGTTTCACCTTTTGTTTTTTTTCTATTATAAAGTTTTTATTTGCTTATTTGTTTCCTTTTTCAAGAATAAGAAAAGAGCATGCATTTATCTTGTTTTCTTTCAGATTTGGAATCCAGATATGACATTAAAAAGTTATCTCAAAAGGATATTTTTGAAATGAATTTATCTCAGTGGGAGATACTGAAAAACATTAGAAGTTATAGCCTGGAAGACTCCTTTTTCAGAAAAGATTGTGAATATAAAAAGTTTGAGGGACAAAAGGATCCTCAAAAGGGATATTTCAGGCAAGTGAAAAAAAACACCTCTGAAAAAAGGTACACTTACAGAAAATTCAAATCTCTTACTTTATATCAGAGAATTCATAATAGAGAAAAACCCTATGAATGTGGGGAATGTGGAAAGGCTTTTAGAGTACGCCAACAACTTACTTTCCATCAGAGAATTCATACTGGTGAGAAACCCTATGAATGTAAAGAATGTGGAAAAACCTTTAGACAGTGTGCCCATCTTAGTCGACATCAGAGAATTCATATTTCTGACAAACTCCTTGAATGTAAAAAATGTGGAAAAATCTTTACATGTAGCGCAGATCTTCGAGTACATCAGAGAATTCATATTGGTGAGAAGCCCTATGAATGTAAGGAATGTGGGAAGTCATTTAGAGTGCGAGGACAACTTAATCTCCATCAAAGGATTCATACTGGTGAGAAACCTTATGAATGTAAGGAATGTGGGAAGACCTTTAGACAGTATGCACACCTTACTCGACATCAAAGACTTAATATTGCTGAGAAGTGCTATGAGTGTAAAGAATGCGGGCAGGCTTTTCTGTGTAGTACAGGCCTTAGAATACATCACAAGCTTCATACTGGTGAAAAACCCTATGAATGTAAGGAATGTGGGAAGGCCTTCAGAGTGCGGCAACAACTAACACTCCATCAGAGAATTCATACTGGTGAGAAACCCTATGATTGTAAAGACTGTGGGAAGACCTTTAGTCGTGGCTATCATCTAACTCTCCACCAGAGAATTCATACCGGTGAGAAACCTTATGAATGTAAAGAATGTCAGAAGTTTTTTCGTCGTTACTCAGAACTTATTTCACATCAGGGTATTCACATTGGAGAGAAACCCTATGATTGTAAGGAATGTGGGAAAGCATTTAGACTGTTCTCACAACTTACTCAACACCAGAGTATTCATTTTGGTGAAAAACCTTATAAATGTAAGGAATGTGAGAAGACTTTTAGACTGCTCTCACAACTTACTCAACATCAGAGTATTCATACTGGTGAGAAACCCTATGACTGTAAGGAATGTGGAAAGGCCTTTAGACTTCATTCATCACTCATTCAACATCAGAGAATTCATTCTGGTGAGAAACCATACAATTGTAAGGAATGTAAGAAGGCCTTTCGCCAACACTCACACCTTACTTACCATCAGCGAATTCATAATATAACTAAATAATTATCAGAAAGCGTTTTATGAATTTTGTGTTAAGGAGCATTGAAAAATAAATTCTAGAGAAAAAGTTTTTGAATGTAGGGATCCCTTTTACTTCATGTTCACAACTGACAAGATTTTATTTAAAAGAAAGAATATGTTCATGAACATGTAGAAGCCTTTCATCACCATTTAAACCATGTTAAACTTTAGAAAATTCATTCTAGAAAGAAATTCTCTTAAAGACTAAATGTGGAAAAGCTTTTGATTTTACCTGTTATCACCTCTATTCATAGTATACCTATGTATACTGGCTCATTCTGAAAATTGGTAAGTAAAAGGAAAGAAAAGTCATTTAGCCTGTATTTTCTGTATGAACTAGATTGCAGGTCACTAGAAGTTGATGAGATAAAGTTCTTTAGTAGAGAATTTTGCAACACATAATGAAATTATGGAACTAGGCAAGATTCACAGAGTTTAAGAACAAAAGATGAAAGGTTGAACTTCATAGTGAACAGATCAGGTTGACATCTGAATCCACTGATTAATTTTAACCTCGTCAAAAATAGGGCAAAACATTTTGTTCTCCTAATGAGGTAAAAAACGGCACACATCTTGCCAAAAAAACTATTGAACCTGAATCTAATTAAGCATCCAGATCTAACTACCAGTTTAGAGAAAATGCAGGGAATAGAACAAATTTCATGGTGCAAAAAGAAGCAATTAGATCTAAAATGTGGGTAATTCTACAAGAGGAATGACCTGGCTTCTCAACCAATAAAATAGCACTGAAAAAAAGGCAAGTAGAACTCACATATTAAAGTCTTAAGAGATGTATGAATCAATGATATGAAGCAGTGGTTCTTATTTAGATCACAAGTTGAGAAAAACTTAAAACATTTTTATAACAATTGGGAAAAGGGGAATGTTGGCAGTATTAGATAATATTAAGAAATTAAGTTTTTGTTAAGTGGTAATAGTGTTGTGGTTATGTAAAAATCTGTTAAAGACAAGTTATGAAGTTTATATACATAAGGTGATATGTCTGGAATTTCCTTTAAAATGTTCATGGAGGGGCTAGTCAAGTGGCTCAGTTGGTTAAGAGCTCACTCAAGAACATAAACTCTGAGCAACAGGGTTGTTGGTTCGATTCCCGGCCCAAGCTGAGCTGCCAACAGGTGGCAGGATGGCTCAGCTAAAAAAGAAAAAAGAAAAAGAAAACAATGCTCATGGAAAAGAAAAAGATGGATAACAAGTTTGTCAAAATAATGTTATGATGAGTCTGTCTTGGATACATGGTGTTTGTTTATTTGGCTTTTGCTATTTTCTCTACTTATGTCTTTTAAATTTTCCATAATGTTCTTTTAAAGATAAAAGTATGAAATAACCAGTTTGAAATGAATTATTTCTTTAAAATGCCTACATACCAAAACGTGTTGCCAAAGCCCTAACGCTGAGATATTAAATATGCTATAATATATTTGGGAAATTAAGAATGAGGGTCCAGATTTTATCTGGTTCACCTGTTGCTATATCTGTTACAGTGCGTGCCCTATAGTACTTCACATATTTAAAGAACAAATTAAAAAAGCAATTACCACTAAATTTGGAGATTAATGGAATAGACCTGCATTGTCTAATAAGACAGCTGCTAGCAACATGTTGAGCACTCGAAATTGAGCTATTGAAAACTGAAGTGTGGCTAGTTCAAATTAAAATGGTGTTAAGTGTAAAATGCACGAAGTTTCGAAGACTTAGTTCTGAAAAAAAGAAGGTAATGTATTAATTTCTCACAGCATTTCTGTGCTGTGATTGGGAAGCAGTGGATTGCATCATTACATAATAGAGAACCCAATTTAAGTGTGTTTCTGCTTCCAAGTAGCACGTTTGCATACTGAGGTCTTGGTTCTACTCTGGGTTTTTTTTTTCTTCTTCATAAAAGATGGCTTGTGTTTACAGCTGAGTAGTTTTCTCAGACTGATTTTAGCCTGTAGACATTTTGGGATCCAAAGGCCCTTTTTCACTTTGTACTGTTTCTGTATTGTTCAAGTTTGCAGTGCTTCAAGTAATAACAATCCTCTTAAAAACTGTATTTTCTACAAATTTTATTAGGGTTTACTCAATTAAACACAAGTTCAACAGGTTCTTCTCTGTTTTGGGTTCCCTATGAAGCTGCTATGGGAAAAGAACCTTAAAGTTCTTAGAAGCCTTGCTGTTTCACAGAAAGGATAAAAGTTGGCTTCATGTTTACCCAGAGACTGCATTTTTATGACAGAACCATATATTTCATTCCCCCCCTCCCATCACCACCAGGCCCTTTATAACTTTGAGGCCCTTTTGCTACCTGGAAACACTGTCATGGAACCCTCTATATTTCCTTGAAATTCTACTTGAAATATGTTCCAGTTGATACAATGAATATATAATGTGATTTTTCTTTTTTACCCTGTTAATATGGTGGATTACCTTCATGGATTTTCAAATACTGATTAAGCCTTATAGCACTGGCATAAAATTTGTTTGTAGTATATACAGTTGACCCTGAACAACATGGGAGTTAGGGGTGCTGATCCCCTATTAGTTGAAAATCTGTGTATAACTTTTTACACCCCCCCCCAAACTTTACTGATAGCTTACTGTTGACTGGAAGCCTTACTGATAACATAAGAAACTGACTAACAGATTATTTATATTATATATATTACATTCTGTATTACAATAAATGAGCTAGAGAAAAGAAATTGCTTTAAGAAATCATAAGGAAGAGAAAAATGCATATACAGTACTGAACTGTATTTAGTGATACCATAGGTTTGCATTGTCTGTTTGCAAGATGAGTTGTCTGTCAGTACCTACATATTGTCTTATAGGATTCAAAACACCATAGATGTTATACATATTATTAACACTAGACATCAAAAATGAAAAGATGTGAAAAAATTCATTTGTTTACAGGTGTAACAATTCATGCATTAATTTTAAAAAAGAAGCAGCAATATGATTACTTTGTGGTAGCATAGCCTATACACAAATGAATAAAAAAATGTTTATGGCATACACCTTTACGGTCATTTATAATACTGGAAATGTTACATTTTTTTAAAAAACTACTTATCTGTAGTGATAGGCTGATACATAGTTTCTCCAACTTTGAGAGACATACTGTATGGTAATGTAATTCTTAGAAAGAAAAGTTATAAAACAGAAAGCTAACAATTTTATATTAAATATCACTCACCTTTTGCCTATGTTAGGATAGGCTATCCACTTTGAGTCTTTCACACGACATTCTACACGATGCATACTTAGGCAACGATGACACAGAAATGTCTCATACAGTTACTAGATTTTCACATAAAGACGCACAACAGATTATTTACTATTAAGTGGAAGTAGATTATCGTAAAGGTCTTCATCCTTGTCTTCATGTTGAGTGGGCTAAAGAGGAGGAAAAGAAGGTGTTGCTCTCGACTCCGGTGGCAGAAGTGAAAGGAGAGGCAGAACACTCGGTGTAACTTAATAAAATTATGTTGTAATTTCTGTCTGACTTTCTTTTACATTTCTCTGAAAATGTTTCTATATGAAACCAGTCCTTCCACCATTTGCTTTAGTTTCAGTGTCCATATATGATAGAAGGGTCCATGTCATAAAAAAAGTCAAAAGCAGTGTTGAATAATTGGAACTCTTCTGCCAAATTGTCTAATGCCAATTTGTTTTCAGGCACTGCTAAGTCTTCCTCAGCATCTGGTGCTGGTTCTCCAGCACTCATCTCCATCAAGTCATCTTTTGTTAATCCCTCCGATGTGTCTATTAGCACTTGAATTTCTCCAACACCCATACCTTGAAACACTTCACCCACCCCCCCACTTTTTTTTTTTCTGCTACTCAAACTCTCATGATTTCTTTGATTGGCTCTGTTGTAAACCCTGTGAAGTCATGCACAACACCTGGATGCAGCAAGAATTCATTGTTTCAAGTTTGATAGCTTTCATGGCTTATAACAAGGATGGCATTTTCAGTGGTGCAGTCATTCCAGACTTTCATGATGTTCTATTGGGGTTCTTCAGTGTTGATAACCCTTCCCATAGAGTACCATGTGTAATGAGCCTTAAAGTTCTTTTTGACCTGATCTAGAGGTCAAATTAGAGATGTTTTTGGGGGGGCAAAGCAGAACACTCTGATGCCTTTGGTATTGAACTAATGGGGTTCTGGGTGGCCAGGGGCATTGCCCAATAATATCAAAAGAATTTTAAAAGGCAGTCCCTTAATGGTAGGGTACTTCTTGACTTCAGGGACAAAGCATTAATGGAACCAATCCACAAAAGGTTCTCATTGTCCAGGCTCTCTTGTACAACCGAAAGACTGGCAACTGGTGTTTATCTTACCCTTCAAGGCTTAGGAGTTAGCAGCTTTACAGACAAGGGTAGTCCTGAGCTTAAACCCAATGGCATTTGCACAAAACTGTTAGCCCATTCCCTTCCTGCCTTAAGTCCTAGTGCTTCTCTTCCTTACTAAAAAAATTTTTTGTGTGTCCCCCCCCCCCCCCCCCCACAAGAATAGAATATTTTCATGTGCATTAAAGCAGATATCCTTTCTCAATGATTTTTTAATACTGTCTGAGAATTTGTCTGCTGCCTCTTTCTTGTTTGGTAGAAGCTGTTTCTGTTATCTCAACAGTTTTTAAGCCAAATTAATAAACCATCCTTTGCTGGCATTAACTTATCCAGCTTTAGATCTTTCACCTTCCTTTTGCTTTAAGTTGTCATATGACGTC